TGCATAAGTGTTGATAACGGGAAATGTGGCTACCCTGGATTTGAACATCTGGTTCTGGAACTGAGTTTAATGCTTCTCCCACCAAAAAGTGCCCAGGAGTTAAGGGATTAAGATCGTTCGGGTCCTGGGATAAGGGGTATAAAGGTCGGGAATTCAAAATCGACTCGATTTGAGTTAATAAGGTGTAGAACTCCTCAAATGTTAGAGCTATATTTTGTGCAATACGTTTAAGGTGGTACTTAGCCGATTTTACCGCACTCTCCTACAGTCCGCCCATATGGGGTGATTTAGCCGGAATAAATTTCCACGTTATGTGGTTGTCGAGTAAAAATTTTTGGAACTGGCTGTCAGAATAAAAACTGTTGATTTTTTGTAATTCTTTATCAGCGGCAACAAAATTTGTTGCATTGTTGGAGTAAATTTGACTGCATAATCCCCTTCGGGAAAAAAATCGTTTTAATGTATTTAAAAAACTATCTTTGGTCAGGTCCGTTACCAGTTCCAAATGCACGGCCTTGGTTGCAAAGCAGACGAATATACAGATGTATGACTTAATGAATTTGCGATTCCTGAGTTTACCGTCCTTTATGAGAAAAGGTCCTGCATAGTCAACTCCGCATATCTTAAATGGGCGTGCAGGACATACTCGAGGTTTAGGTAAATTTGCCATTTTTTTATCTATACCTGTAGGCTTAGCCCTGAAACATGTGATACACTTTCTGAGAATGCCCCGTACTACCTTGCGTGCATTCAAGGGCCAATACTGTTGTCGGATTCTACTAAGGGTTAATTGGTAACCCGAGTGTAAATTTTTTATATGAGTGTATTCAATTATTAGTTGGGTGAATTTATGATTGGAAGGTAGAATAGCTGGATGTTTGTCATCAAAATTTAAATCTGATTTTTCTAGTCTCCCCCCCACTCTTAATATATTGTCAGAGTCTAAAAATGGGCTCAGAGAACTTATTTTACTTTGTTTGGGTATTGATTTATTCTTTTTTAGTAAATCGATCTCAACACTAAACGCTGAATGTTGAGTTAACTTTATTAAAACCGTGTTCGCCTCTTTTATTTCTTGAACTGTTAATTTTCCAAAGTATCTGCTCTTTTGTCTTTTTCATATTATGTATAAATCATAAACAATACGCGGTTACATGTTGTAATTTGGTAAATGACGAAAAGGACCCCGCAATAATCTTATGGAAATTGGGTTTCTGTCAAATTGTCTGAATTTTTGATATGTTGTAGATTTTGTTATCCTGGACAAAAGTCTCCATGGGCACAAAGTGCCAAAATGAACACTTTGGCAGCTACGGAGCTGCCAAAGCTCCCCTGACCCGTTGCAGAACTATTCATTTTCAATACTATTTACAGATGTCAAAAGCATATTTTAATTATTCTAATATACAGGGTGAGTCAAAATTCACTCCCCAGCGGCCAGATATATATACTAAAATAAAAAATAAAACAAAAATGTAGAATGCTAAAATCTCGAAAGCGAGAAGAAAAATTCAAATTTATAATTTTTTTGTTTAATATTAACAGCATTTAAATCCATACAAAAATAAAGAATAGCAAAAACGAAGATCCTTCTAGTTTTGGCTAACCTTCAAAAACATTACCATTTTCCTTAATACACTTCTGCAATCTGTGGTAGAAACTCCTGGCAACAGAACAGAAATTAGCTTAATTTATTTCTGCTACTGCTTCATGAATCCTGCAAATAACATCATCCTCGACAATAGGCACAGTAACATAAACCTTTTCTTTTATGTATCCCCATAACCAAAAGTCTATCGGAGTCAAGTCAGGGGACCGGGGTGGCCATGGTGTTGGTCCACCCCGTCCAATCTATTTATTAGGAAAACGGCGGTTCAAAATATGTCGTACTTGTAATGTGGCATGTGCGGGGGCTCCATCATGCTGAAACCACATAGTTGCACGTTGTTGTAGAGGAATATCTCCTAACAAACTTGGCAAAATTTTCTCGCAAAACTTATTGTAATTTTTACCATTCAGTATTCTTGGCAAAAAATATGGACCTATGATCCTTTTCCCGTAAATACCTACACAAACATTTACAGACCAACGTCTTTGCTGATACAAAGAACGTTTTGGAGCTACGCATCCTGTTTCCACAGTACGTATTTCTACATTTTGGATTGTTTTGTGATCGGGATGATGGCGATTCGGAAATTGTTCCCTGTACAAACGCTCGGCAGCACAGGCGTTATTATTACAAGCTCCTAAAGCTTTAATCATATCGACGT